TTGTACAACGTGTTCAACGCAGAAAAAGCGAAAGTATCATTGGTCGGCGCTTTAGTGGTGAATACGAACGACGTGGGATTTTACGTGTTCAGGGCCAACTGTGGCGAAGTGATTAAGTCGCATGAAGTGGCTATCAAGGACGAGGACACGTCGCTGGAGGGATGGTTTGAACAGGACCCGATGACGATACTGAGCGCCGTCGAGGAGTGCATTGCCAACACGACGTCCCCGGGCGGAATGGTGATGGGCGCGCGCGTGGTCGCTGTGGGCATAGCTAACCACCGAGGTTCCGTGTTAGCATGGAACAGGCGTACCGGCAAACCACTTTGCAACGTGATACTTTGGTCGGACCATCGGGCAGCCGCCATGGTGGACGAATACATGAAGACCAGCGATAAATACCGGTTTCAGGGKGTGTGCGGCCTACCATTCAGCCCTCACTTCAGTGCGTTCAAAATCAAGTGGTTACTGGTCAACGATGTCAACGTGATGTCCGCCTACCGGGCCGGTGACTGTTACTTTGGTACAATCGATTCTTGGCTGTTGTATAAATTGACTGGAGGCAACGAGGGTGAATAATTCAAACTTAAAATAAAATTTATTTGTATGACTTTTCGTTGTTCATATTATCATATAATATGAATAGATAGATATTATTTTATAATTCATAAAGTGGAGTGGACTATATATATATATGTATATTTGAACGCTATTGGCGGAGCAAGGCATTTTTAAAATTTGTTTATGTTTAATTAGCTTCACATTTCATATGACTAAATTCAAATAAACAAGTCAAATTGGTCTGACCAATAAGTTACATTTAGGGATAACTAATTAGTAATTAATCACTTTTAATTTAATATGGGTATTTTAAATATGCCTAATTTGAAAATTTAGTAACTAAAAATTTCCAGTCAAAATAAAATATTATTGTATCGTTTAATATGTTGAATTATAAACTATTGAAGGTTGCTACTCCTCTTATCGTACAAATATCCTGCAAACGTATATTGAATTTTATACGAATGTCCTTCGTTCGTATACATGGATGACGGGTCCATAATTTATTGTAGATTCTGCTTGTTGGGGAAAATGGGGAAAAGTTTAAAAACATAATTTATTCTACTAACGTTTTATACAGTTTTTCATATTTTATTGGGTTGACATATAGATGTACAACTTTTTTTTTTCATTTTCAGGAGGAGTATTTGCTACTGATACTTCAAACGCTTCGTATACATTTTTAATGAACATTAACACGTTGAAGTGGGATAAAAAACTGTTGTCGTTTTTTGGTATTTTTGAAAAATGTCTCCCAAAAATAAAAACTAGTTCTGAAATCTTCGGAAATATTTCCAGTGGATATCTTAATGATACGCCAATATCTGGTGTGATTGGAAACAGCCAAGCCGCTCTAATCGGCCAAAGATGCTTTCGAAGTGGTCTTACGAAAGGTACACTCGATAAAAGTGGTTCAATATTCACGATTACTGGGGAAGACAAAGTTTTCTCCAAAAATGGACTACTGACAACAATTGCGTATCGACTGGATTCGAGGCCGATATTTGCATTAGAAGGTCCAATTGCTTCGGTAGGACATACTATAGATTGGGTTAAAATATGTTTGAATGTCAGAGAATCTGAATGTTGGGCTAAAAAGGCAAAAGACAGATTACAAAATGAAGTATACTTGGTGCCAGCATATAATGGTAACTACTAATTTTGATTTAATAAAATAAGTCTATTATCTGTGGATTGATATATGTATATATAGGTTAGGTTAGGACGAGGGGGACGAGGTGGCCGAGCGGTCCAACGCGTCGGCTGTGGCTCAGCCGGACCGGGTTCGATCCTAGACCATCGGGCGACATTTTTCTCCGGGCAAGTCACGGTGTCCGGAGAATAAGTGCCGCCATCTCCCACTCCGGGGCATGGCAGAAACCTACGGGTGCCCCAATAGAAATTCTGCCAAATAGGCGCCCGAACTAGGCCTTCGGGCCTACTCCCGTATATACGATACCATACGAAAAAAAAAAAAATAAAAAATAGGTTTAATTCGAAATAATTTAAACTTAAATTTCTAAACATAATTACTCTACTATATTGTAAAATGTTATAATTATATATCTATTTTATATTTCGTATTTCGAATTGTTTTTTAACCTTTAACGTTCTTTATTAATTTGAATTAAAACACTATATATCGTCAAGATTATACTATTAAACCTTTAAATTATATTATATAGGTTTGTATGCTCCACATTGGAGACATGAAGCTCGAACTGTCTTAGTTGGATGTAATGAGTATACTATTAATGATGACATTTTAAAAGCAGCCATGAAATCCGTGTGCTATCAAACTAAAGATATTGTTGAAGCTTTAAATAGTGACCTAAAAATGTCTATTGACAAAATACAAATCGACGGTTACTTATCAGATGACAAATTTATCATGCAATACCTATCTGATATAACAAACTCTCAAATTGAAGTAGCCAAGTTTAAAAATGGGACTGCATTGGGCGCTGCTATGGCAGCTGGTTACGCACCTGAAATAAACGTCTGGAACGCTCTGTGTATGCCAGAAGACAATGGTGAAATTTATTATCCTAATATGACGGTCGATGAACGGAAAAGTAAAATGTTTGATTGGAAGAGAGCTTTGCGGAGAAGTTACGACTGGATTGGTTATAACAACAAGTTGAAAAATTTTTGGGCGATCGCGTCTATTACAAGTGGATTAATTTTATTAGGAGGTTATTTAATTCTAAAAAAATAAATTTTACATATTTTTATACATTCGAAAGTATAATCTAAAGATGTATATTCCGAAATTTATTGTTTAATCAATCTAACCTAACTGTGCCTGCTGTCGGGTATGTACATGTACAATCATGAACATGCCTTACCAGGCTACTTCCCTGCCCATTAAATCTTATCACCTACACCTCTTATCCACCTATTATGCTCCTACCTTCTATTATATAATAKAGTTAAAATAGAAATCAAACATAAAATAAAACATACGACTAAAATTTACACAGTTTTAAATAGCATACTTATAATTAAAATTTCTTAAATTTTACTACAAAATATGACAGTTTAATATTTAACTGTTTTTAATAATAATTATACGGTAAACAAAATTATTCACCCTCTATCATTGAGATATATTCAATATACAATGTATCTCACGGAGATTTGACAATGAAATAGGTAACTTTTCTTCTAATTGTTATTTAATTTTTTTTTTAAATATAATTCATGACGCTTGCGTGACATTTTTTATTTATTATTTTTTAATACTGAAAAAAACTTAAAAATTGATATAAAAAATCTCCAAACATTCAATTGTACTTACTACTAACCTAACCTAACCTGTACGACCATGAACATGTCTCAGCAGACGTCTCCCTCGCCCATCAAATCCTAACTGTAACACCCCTTATCCACCTATTATACCACTAACATCAGCTATATAATAAATAATTAAAATAGAAATCAAACATAAAATATACGAATACAATACAATCTATTCAGTTTGAAATATTGTGTAATAGCATTCTTACGATTAAAATTTCTATAATAATTATGTTACAAAATACTTGTGTTATAGTGTAAGTACCTATGTAATTTTCGATTGTTTTTTAATAATTATTATACGGTAAAAAAAAATATTAAYCCTCTATCATTACAATGTATGTTGAGGTATATTTAATATACAATGTGTCTCACGGCAATTAGACAAATGAAATAACCTTTGTTCTAATTGATATTTTAAAATTTTTTTTAAATATAATTCATGGCTCGTACGTGACATTTTCTAAAACTGAAAAAAAACTTAAAAATTGATATAAAAAATTCCAATCATTCAATATAGCCAATTTGTATATCTTATTTTGAGAAAAATTTTTGTACCGTACAAATTTTTCTCAACATAAGATATACAAATTGGCTATATTGAATGATTGGAATTTTTTATATCAATTTTTAAGTTTTAAAAAATGTCACGTAAGAGCCATGAATTATATTAAAAAAAAATTTTAAAATATCAATTAGAACAAAAGTTATTTCATTTGTCTACTCGCCGTGGGACACATTGTATATTAAATATACCTCAACATACATTGTAATGATAGAGGGTTAATATTTTTTTTTTTTACCGTATAATAATTATTAAAAAACAATCGAAAGTTACATAGTTACTTACACTATAATACGAGTATATTGTAACATAATTATATACATTTTAATCGTAAGTATGCTATTACACAATATTTCAAACTGAATAGATTGTATTGTAATCGTATGATATTTTATGTTTGATTTCTATTTTAATTATTTATTATATAGCCTACTCCCGGACATAGCGCCATACGAAAAAAAAAAATTATATAGCTGATGTTAGAGGTATAATAGGTGGATAAGAGGTGTTGCAGTTAGGATTAGATTGTCTTTGTCTTCTGGCATACACATAGCGTTCTAGACGTTTATTTCAGGTGCGTAACCAGCTGCCATAGCAGCGCCCAATGCAGTCCCATTTTTAAACTTAGCTACTTCAATTTGAGAGTTTGTTATATCAGACAGGTATTGCATAATAAATTTGTCATCTGATAATTAACCATCAATTTGTATTTTGTCAATTGACATTTTTAGGTCACTATTTAAAGCTTCAACAATATCTTAAGTTTGATAGCACACGGATCTCATGGCTGCTTTTAAAATGTCATCATTAATAGTATACTCAATACATTYAACTAGGACAGTCCGAGCTTCAAAGCTCCAATGTGATTGTCACTTRTTCATGCCTATGGATATTATTTTGTGTAATATATCTTATAGTTTTAATATCTTACCATACTTGTAACTTTGTAAGTACAGTATACATAGTATAACGCATTTTGTTCTACCATTGATTTAGTCTAGAAAAACCAATGACATATAACCTAACCTATGACATAAATAACAACATTTGAGTATAATAATAGTTTTTATCATAATACTATTGTCTATTATGAGTAATTTAATATTAAATTTAAGTGTAATATTCAACTGTATTCAATAATTAGKTATAAAAATAGTTATTGACTGTAGTATTAAACTATACAACTGACAAGTTATAATTATAGAACATTTATAACTTGAAGGAGTGATAATTGTTAAAACTTTAGTCATTATTCAATTTGAGATGGTGAAAAAGTAACAAAAAATACCAAACACTAAACACAYTATTCAAATGACAAATCAAACAACACAGATAAATAAAATAATATAATTTAGTTAATTGATATAGATTCTTAGTGAAACGATTAATATATCAGTTAAATTCTTTATATATANCAAAATTACTTACAAATTTTCACGTTTTCGACAGATTTCGTAAAAATTTGAACTATAAACGCTTATAAAATAAAATTGTGACGATTTTTAATTTTTTTTTTAGCTACAATTAGAACAAATCATAAGGAACCTTGGATTAAATTTTAAAGTATTTTTGGTCATCCAAAACTTTTTTACCGACTCTTCAAAAAAAAATTCTCATAAAAATTGAAAATGCCAGTGGTGTATAAATAACTAAAAAAATTCAAAATTTTTTGAAAATTAAACTGTGTATAGATAACACTAACATAAACATTTGGTGAAAATTTCAAGTATTTACAGTGATTAGTTTTTAAATTACGACCATATAAATAAATCGATTTGGTCTAAAACTGGTTTTGCGTAAAAAATCCCGTTTTTCTGTCACTTTTTTTGTTGTTTTTCTCGATTATTTTGAAAACTATTGGAAAGTGTTTACTTTTGACCTTTATAATGCACCAAGGATATTCACTTTTCTATCGGAAACCACCCCCAAAGTTTGAAATTAAAGCATTATTTCGACTAGTTATGATGTACAAAGACACAAAAACCAAAAAATGTACACATGATTGTAAAATCAACACATTCATCACTCCGTTCAGAATCTAAAAACTAATAATGATCGAAAATTGCAAATAGCTATGAATTGTTCAATTTAAGTGGAAAATTGTTGAAAATTGCATAGTGGATAGAATATACTTATATAAACCTTATAAATAAACTTATAACTTTATAAACATTCGGTGAAAATTTTATGTATTTATTGTTATTTGTTTTAAAATCCATCAAAAACCAAAATCGATTTGTCAAAAATTGATTGTGCGTAAAATTTCCCGTTTCCCCCTTAATTTTTAGTTTGTTTATCCAGATTATTTAGAAAAACAATAAGAATTTTTTACTTTTGACCTTACGAAGTACCAAAAAGATTCACTTTCTGATAGAACAAGGTACTGAAGTCAAAAGTCGAAGCACTTTTACTGCCCCAAAACATGATGATAGACACAAAAAAAACACACATCATTGTAAAATCAATACATTCATCACTCCGCTCAAAATCTAAAATTTGAATTTGTTTGAAATTTTAAGTTTTTTTTTTTAAATTTGTATTCTTGATTTTTCAAATAAAATATTTAAAATGGTTATAAGTAGCACAAACAGTTCAAATTAATTTTAATGTTCAGCGACTAATTTTATTAATATTTTATAAAAATTTAAAGCTTTGAAAGTTTTTTTTCTTAATTAGGCAACAAATAAACAAAACTTGATTTTGTTGAAAACTGGTTTTGCGTAAATATTCTCATTTGTCATTATCATTATTAATATTTCAGAATCCAAATAATTATGAAGTTACTAGGAGTTCCATATTTACGACCACCTTTTCCTAACGTACCAACTATATCAAATTTTTTATTTGAATAAGGTTGGCTCTTAAGGTATCTTAAATCAAATGATCTGTCCTAAAATGTGAAACATCCACAAAAAAAAACACATTTACAAATATTTTTCTTGTTTTGCTCAGATTTAAAAAGGTCTATAATTATGTGGTTTTAAAATTTTTCATTTACAGTAATTTAACATTTATACATTTTCTTGTAAACCATTGGTACCTAACTCATCAATATTTTTCTTTTTACCAGCTTTACACTATTATTGATCAAATAAACATAGATACCTAGATAACTGATAAAGTATTATCTAATACACAATTTTTTCTAGATTGAAAATATATAATGATTGTACGATTTTTTTTCTATATAATACTTAGTATCCTGCAAGAAATAAATAACTAATGACATTGATTGTAAAACTATATCATGTTGAACTACCTATTTTGTATATATTTATCATTAATAGCAAAATATAATTCAGATTTTATTGTCTATACTAAGTTATTTCAAGTAAATAATCAACGACGTTTGTCTGTATGATACTATTAGTGATACACTGATATGTTAAAAACACTAAGCAAAATTATCAATGAGTTATATTTTTAAAAATACCAGCAGTAGTTATATATACTTAATAATTAATAAAATATAAGTAAAATATGAAGACAAAAATCACACGAACTCAAAATAATCATCATATTCCACGTGATTAAAGGTATAAATGGTTTAAATTTTTGACAATTAAAAGCTTCAAATTATAGGGTACTAAATTTTTAAGAATTTAAAATGTAATGACTCCTACTCTTTTTACACGAAAATAAATGTCTAACCTCTAACATTATAAAATGTTTTATTGACATTTTATGTACAAGAAGTGAGGAGATTTATTTTTAATAACATTCTTAACCACTAAATTAATTCAATCTCCAATTATTGGAAAATCCATTAAATGCTTTAATATACCTAATTAYACTAAACTTCGAAGTATAGTTTACTCAATTTGCAAATAATGACGATTTTTAACTTATTTTTC